TCTGTGGGGTCTCACCAGGGCTCTGAGGGGGCCTCACCAGGGTAGCAGGGTTCTGTGGGGTCTCACCAGGGCTCTGAGGGGCTCTCACCAGGGTAGCAGGGATCTGTGGGGTTTCACCAGGGTAGCAGGGTTCTGTGTAAACCAGGGTTCTGAGGGGGCCTCACCAGGGTAGCAGGGTTCTGTGGGGTCTCACCAGGGCTCTGAGGGGCTCTCACCAGGGTAGCAGGGATCTGTGGGGTTTCACCAGGGTAGCAGGGTTCTGTGGGGTCTCACCAGGGCTCTGAGGGGCTCTCACCAGGGTAGCAGGGATCTGTGGGGTTTCACCAGGGTAGCAGGGTTCTGTGGGGTCTCACCAGGGCTCTGAGGGGCTCTCACCAGGGTAGCAGGGATCTGTGGGGTTTCACCAGGGTAGCAGGGTTCTGTGGGGTCTCACCAGGGCTCTGAGGGGCTCTCACCAGGGTAGCAGGGATCTGTGGGGTTTCACCAGGGTAGCAGGGTTCTGTGGGGTCTCACCAGGGCTCTGAGGGGCTCTCACCAGGGTAGCAGGGATCTGTGGGGTTTCACCAGGGTAGCAGGGTTCTGTGGGGTCTCACCAGGGCTCTGAGGGGCTCTCACCAGGGTAGCAGGGATCTGTGGGGTTTCACCAGGGTAGCAGGGTTCTGTGGGGTCTCACCAGGGCTCTGAGGGGCTCTCACCAGGGTAGCAGGGATCTGTGGGGTTTCACCAGGGTAGCAGGGTTCTGTGGGGTCTCACCAGGGCTCTGAGGGGCTCTCACCAGGGTAGCAGGGATCTGTGGGGTTTCACCAGGGTAGCAGGGTTCTGTGGGGTCTCACCAGGGCTCTGAGGGGCTCTCACCAGGGTAGCAGGGATCTGTGGGGTTTCACCAGGGTAGCAGGGTTCTGTGGGGTCTCACCAGGGCTCTGAGGGGCTCTCACCAGGGTAGCAGGGATCTGTGGGGTTTCACCAGGGTAGCAGGGTTCTGTGGGGTCTCACCAGGGCTCTGAGGGGCTCTCACCAGGGTAGCAGGGATCTGTGGGGTTTCACCAGGGTAGCAGGGTTCTGTGGGGTCTCACCAGGGCTCTGAGGGGCTCTCACCAGGGTAGCAGGGATCTGTGGGGTTTCACCAGGGTAGCAGGGTTCTGTGGGGTCTCACCAGGGCTCTGAGGGGCTCTCACCAGGGTAGCAGGGATCTGTGGGGTTTCACCAGGGTAGCAGGGTTCTGTGGGGTCTCACCAGGGCTCTGAGGGGCTCTCACCAGGGTAGCAGGGATCTGTGGGGTTTCACCAGGGTAGCAGGGTTCTGTGGGGTCTCACCAGGGCTCTGAGGGGCTCTCACCAGGGTAGCAGGGATCTGTGGGGTTTCACCAGGGTAGCAGGGTTCTGTGGGGTCTCACCAGGGCTCTGAGGGGTCCTCACCAGGGTAGCAGGGTTCTGTGTAAACCAGGGCTCTCCACAGGGCTCTCACCTGCTTTTCACAAGGCTCTCCAGGCTGCCACTCCAGTACTGTGTGTGCTGTGCTGGCTGTGTCTTGAGGGCGTCTCCATCAGCGGCTGCAGTTAAACTCCGCCCTCCCAGCCAGAGATCCTCGTGCGGTGGATGGGAGGGAGGAGATCTCTTCTTATTGGCTGGTGGGCGGAGCTCCGTGCAGAAGACGAACCGATGATCCGCACCACGCCTCTGGGCCCTTGAGATTAATAACGTGCTGGATTAGTGTGATCCTAGTTCATTTTATTACTTCATTGCTGCGCTGTATGTGTATAGGCCGATGTAGTTGGATCTGTATGTGAGTTATAATTAATCGCAATTAATCGATTAAAATTTTTTTTGATTAATCAAACACGAAAATTTTAATCACTGACAGCCCTAATATTATTATTATTATACAGGATTTATATAGCGCCAGCAGTTTGCGCAGCGCTTTACAATATAAGGAAGATATTACAATCACAATACAATTCAAGACAAGATGGTAAGGAGGGCCGTGCCCCTGAGGGCTTACAGTCTAGAAGGGAGGGGGAAGTGATACATGAGGAGGTAGCTGTGTGGGGATGAATTGTTTAAGAATGTGATGGCTATATACTTACCAATCTGATGGGCGGTGAGTGATATCTGCTGCTGCCTTTGCTTTTCTGACACATCCAGATGTGTAGGATGGCGTAAGCTGCACTGGGCGCTCTGGCTTCCTCCAAGCAGCCCAGATGTCATTCCTGTGCTCTATATTGGCGTAGGGGCTAGTGGGAGGAAGCACAGCATCCAGTGGAGGGCACGCTATGCAGCACACCCAGAAGTGTTTGCAGCAGTGCCCAGAGGATAAATTCATCGGTCTCCCCGCATACAGGTAAGTATGCAACTTAATCTTATACAGGCGGCAGCTACTGGAAATATTTTTTATCACGGTCTGGTTCTCCTTCCTGTCTTGGCAACTACTGACACTAGGACAAGGGAGGTTTGGGCACTTTCCTCAAGCCTGAAGACAGGCGGTTGCGAATCCTTTGTATTGAATGTTTTTATTTGTAAAACAAAAAATGTGTGTGTATACTGCCCGTTCAGCATTGCAGTCATCGGAAGCCCGCCCCTCAGCGGGGCTGGCTTGCGATGATCGCAAGTACGATCTGCCTGTCCCAAGATGTACGTTTTTTAAATTACCTTACAACCATCGCAAGACAAAAGTCTTCCGATGGTTGTAAGGTGTGTGGCCAGCTTTAGGGTAAACTGCACAACCTAAGAGATATGTGTGGAACCCAGACATTACCAAAACAAAGAAAGCCCTCTTGGACGGAGGGGAATTGGGGAGTAAAAACAGACCAAGGGACTCTAGTGCTTAATTTTTCAGTTTTATTTAATATTTTCCCCTTTTTGTTTTTAGCTTTAGTTTGTTTGAGTCTGAATTTGTTGCCTAAAATCGGAGGTCAGAGGTCACCTGGAGTCTTAGAGCAATTGCCTGTCAACTGGCTAACATTACAAGACTGTATTTCTGTTTCTAAGGGCTTGTTCACACCAAATGCAGACCAGATCTGCATGAGTTTCTGCTCTTGCACTCCAGTGTGTTTTTCCACGTTCCGGGCCATTTTTTTAAAATCCTAAAATGGGCTTTCAGTGCGTTCCAGGGGGTTTGCATGTGTTTTGGTGCATTCCAGAGCAGCAAAAATAGGGCATTTTACAGTACTACATTTACATTATATTGTGTGTGTCTGTGTATAACTAGTTCTGTGTTTTTTTTCCTCCTAGTGAACTGCACTTAGCCACCACGTGGCCCTGTCTGACCGAAGGCATTATAGTGGATAACGATGTGTATTCGTGAGTATTTCTATTTTGATATCAAGTGTGTCCATGCTACCCTAGGCCCTTAGGGCCTGTTCACATGAGTTTCAGGTCCGGATCAGGTGCGCATCTGCAGACGCGGTGCTATGTGTTTTGCTGCGTTTTCGATGCGTTCCAGTTAAAAATATATATATTTTTTTTTTTTTGCTGGAGTGGTGCTGTCAGTATGTTAGCTGCAGTGCAGTGCATTTTTGACGCGTTTTGAGTTTCCGGACCGTTTCATGACCGTACAAAATGTGACATGCAGTATTTTTCTGTCGTAACCTGAGCGCACGTGAGAAGTGTAGCCCATAAAACACATAGGGATACATTGGGAGGGATACATTGGGATGCATTTTTAGTGCAGGAGCGTACGGATCAGGTCAGCACAGAAAACGGACGTCGTGTGAACAGGCCCTAAAGCTCTGTTGAGCTAGTATTAGGGGTTTGATACCTTGCTATAAAGTAATCAAGACACCGTATGCCGTCATATTCATAGGATGCATGTTGATTACTTGTCCCCATTCTGTACACAGAAAGTTCAGTTGAGCATTCCTAGCAGTAAACAAGGAAAATGTCTCTTCTAGCGACCTATGAAATGATTGTATTGAAACCTTAATGGCACTATGCATATAACTTTTTCTGCACATTGTGCATTAATGTAACACAAAACGAACCCATGTAAGGTAAAGCAATCCAGTTCCCTTAAATGTCTCCCTCCCCATCAGCACATACCGCTTGGCTTTGTTTTGCTACCATTCCATTCAGCTGCCAGGAACAAAGAAAATGCCAAGTACTTCTGGGTATGCAGAAGCATGTGACCCCATGTAGGGCAAAGCAATTGGTTCCCTTAAATGCCTCCTTCCCCATCAGCACATACACCTTTGCTACCATTCCATTTAGCTGCAGGGAACAAAGAAAATGCCCAGTACTTTTGGATATGGAGGAGCATGCGACCCAGTGTAGCCATGTGGGCTTTGGGGGATAGTCCTCAGCCCTGTGTAAGCTCCAGAATAATTCTGAGCCTACACATGGTTTCCATTCCTCACTCCTGATAACTGGGGGAACAAAGGAAAGGTAAATATGTGGTAGTGTGGAGGAGTATTAAAGCAAACCTGCGGCATGGACAAAGCACAGGTATGCATTATGTAGACTTGTCGTCACCAGTCAAAGCTGGTATTTATAAGAGAAGAACCTTTCAAGGGTACACTGACATCACCAGGGGTTGCTGGCTATATGTACCTTGGCTATGTTTATTCTTAGTCATAGGATAGCTGCCTCCTCATAAATAATAGTTAACCCCACAAACCATCTCCATGTGTAGAGTGTAGGTAGCTGCCATATTGAGTGAAGTACTGTCTATAAACACAATAGAACAGTTACACAGAGTGACCAGATTTGTGAGCTTATCATATTGATCATTTTCTTTTTAAATAAGGTAAATATTGGCCATGGAATTCAGGCTACTTTATAGATCATACTATTGAATTCCTGTGTAGAATAAAGCCTTTTGTAGTGCGGCATTAGTGACTCAGTCTGTGTCTCTCTACTGTTGTCCATCATTGTCTTCCTAAACACTTATTTTCCATTGCACTGAATCTGTTTTTTGTTCATGAACAGTGACTTGGATCCTCTTCAAGCTCCTCAGTGGTCTGTCCGAGTCAGAAAAGCAGATAACCCTCAGTGTATGCTAGGTAAGCAGTCATTTGCAGGATAACAGTGGAGTGAGTACTGGATGAGAGCTTGTCCATAGCAATCAATCACAAATTTGATGTAATTTCTTGTGCAGATAATGTAATTAAATGCAATGAGCAACACACCCCTGTTCTGTCTCTTGTTTGTGTTCTGCCTCTGAATTTTCACAGATCTTGCATGTTTAAATACAGCCCGTCAGCTGTTGTGTGTAGACAATGACTGTTTCTTGGCCTGATGATTAGTCAGGCAATGTCTGTATCGTCTTGCCACTGTTAACATTACAGGTTAGTTCACATATGAAAAAAAAGCCTATGTAGTCAACAAACCCCAGTAAGCTGGCTGTATGGCAATATCATCTTGCCACTGACATGAAAAGAGAACAATGTGGTAAGTGTTTTTCCCAATAGTTCTCTTTAGGGTCACGGGAGGACATATACTAGCATCCTCCCGTGACCTAAACCTCAGTATATTAGGGCTATTGCCCTCGATACACTGTGAGCGCTGCAGCCGGGTTGCATCCCGATATTACTGTCTGGATTCACCCAGCTGTGTGAGTGACAGCTGGCTCTGCCTATCTAGAGGCAGAGTCAGCTGTTCACCTTTAAAAAAAAAAAAAAATAGCCTATGTAGTCAAGATGCCTCCGTACATAGCAATGAACTAAGCAGATATTACAAATCTTGAGTAATGTATCTTCCGTACCTGTAGACCGTTTGGGTCCCCCCTCCAGAAGCCTGCCATAAAAACTCCCAATATTGTGCATAGCTGCTTTCGAGCGCAGTGCGCTGTCTCCCTCCTGTGCAACTGCGACAAGAGAGAGGGAGAGCACACTGCACATGCGTAGGTTCTGAACAGGGATGGAGCATCCAATGGCTGGCTAGTCCTGGAAACAGGAAACGAAGGAGCTATGCACAATATTGGGACTTTTTCGGAGAGGCTTTGGTGGGGGGCGCAAATGGCCTACAGATATGGAAAATATATTGCTATAGATTTTTAAGAGCCGCTTACTTTAGTGGTACTCACTGGGTCTTCTACCTATAACGCAGCTGATCTGAGCACACGTGTTCGTCGGAAAATGTTAAAATCAAAATCTAGCTCCTTGATCACATCGACATCACCTACTAATTTTTTTGGTTGCATTTGGTTGTTTTTTTTACTGACATTTCCGACCTTTTCTTTCAGGTGATTTTGTTACGGAGTTTTTCAAGCTTTGTCGGCGTAAAGAGTCAACTGATGAACTCCTCGGGAAATCTGCCTTTGAGGAGAATGGAAGAGGTAGTCATTGCAGCTGACATTATTGGTATTTTATTTTGCTGAGCCCAGATTTCTGCACAGAAAGATTATAATAGATTGATTTATCTCTTCACTCTCATGCCAAACTGTAGTTATAAGAATTTCTGCAAACCTGATCAGCTTGTAAATGATATGCTGCTCCTTTAAAGAGGACCTGTAATGTGAAAGCTGTGCTCCAAAAAAGGCAAGCTGAGAACAAAGGACTAGTTACCATTTCTCTCCCATTACTGACTTACCATGCCTAGTTCTACACTGTGTCTCTGTATGTGACAGGTTGGGGGGCATTTTGCTGAGA